TGGAAGGGGTAAATGTCACACGTTAGTAGTTAGGGAGCCGGGGCGAGTCTAATACCTGGAGGTTGTTGGGGGGTCTCGCTCCCGGGCCCCGGTACTCGACCAGGAAAGGGCAAGACTGCTCTTATCTTCAGATGAACATTCACTGCTAAGAGCTTTATACGACAAAAATAACCAGGTGTTTCGGTCAGTCTCGTGTAAAAAAAATCTCACCCCAAATTTTAAAGTCCGAGCAAAGGGGTTTAGTACCCCGACCCTCAAAAAAAAAAAAAAAGATCCCATTTTGCCTCAACTCTACTTTTTTTTCCCTTTGCTCGCCAACCCTTTTCCTTTAAAACCCCCTTTCCCCCCATCCCCATGTTGTTTTTCCAGGGGGGGATATCCCCGTACATGATCTCCAGTGATGTAATCCCCTGCCATCCGACCCTAACTAACACCACCCTTCCCCCCTCCCTACCCCGCCCAAAACCACAATGTTCCCCATCCCGTCACTCACCCACACTAAAATATCACTGGCGGTCAGTGCAAGAGTAGGCCAGTGTTTTATAGGGGTTTCAGAGTCGTGTTTTTACGGGGTGGAAAAAAAAATACAAAATAATCAAAAAAGTTTTTTTCCTTACTCCCCCATCCCGCCGATTTTTCAACAGTAACTTGATTATTAAAAATCAAAACAGCGTTAAACTCACAAGGGTATACAGCGGCTCAACATTTAAAAACGTAAGAAAGGGGCCCCAAAAGGGGGCCGGAAAAAACTTGTTCTCTCCCCCCTGGATCAACCAAAAGGACTCCCTTCCCGGGAATTTTTACGGATTTAGACTTATAATAAGAGCACAATAGACTTTGCTTTTCCATTTTTGTTATGGTTCTGTCCAGCAGCTTTTTATATAATGATTTTTAAAATTTATTTTTAACTGGAGGAAGCGTTCCCCCTATAGGAGTCGTACCCCTAAAGGAAGGTTCCTTGATGTTGGGAGGGGTCTTGATTTGGGAATTGGATTGTCCCCCAGTTCCCCGAATTAACTGAATGCCTTCCACTCCCCCCCCCGGGGCTGTATAATCCCCCGGGTTTTGCGCTTCCCCTTTTTTTAATAATAATATAGGAGTTTAAGCCTGGGTATGAGTGGAGAATTCCCCTTTTGGGGGGGAAAATGCTCTAAAATGTAAACCCGCTAGAAACCCCCCTCCAAAAGAGTTTTTGAATCCGGGGGAGACCTTGAACCAAGGTATTGGCCCCGACTTCCCTAGACTTGGCTCAAACCTGATTGTCTCCCATTTTTCAATGTGCCGAAAGATCCTTTTGATCCTGAAGATGAAAGTTTTATTTTGGGATGTTGCATCAACAGCCCCTAGGAAATACATACAAAAACAAAAATGCAATATTCAGAAAAACAACACATACAAAGGAATTAAGAAAACCCCCTTTCTCACGGGGTAAGGCAAAGGTCAAGTTTGGGTTTTACCAATCATCGAAAAATACCCTTTAAAGCGTTCTGTTTAAAACCCACCTCTTTGTATGGAGAATAAGAATGTATAGTAATGTGACAGTTTGCGGTTTTACTCACCCCCGGGCTTTGTATCATGTTGATTTACAACCAGACTGTTGCTGCCAGTATCCCCTGCCCAAAATTTATCAGAGTTCTTCTCAAACTGAACACCTCATAAGTTTCAGTCTCCCATCTGTGGGTTGTGTAAACCTTAAAAGCAGTATGTCCCTCCGTCTTCGAGTAACATGTTTTTTTTTCCACTATAATCTACCTTTCCATAATTGCTTTCGCATTTGATTTTTTCAAAAAGGAAAGCCCAGGATCTTTCCTAAATTCATGGTATAACAAATCTGGGACAATTGTGTTGAGAGGTCGAGATTTGCTCAGCCTCTGCAACACATTTGTTTTCGAAGATTTGTTAATTTATCCCATAATTAAGGAGAGACCCGGGACTTCCTTACGAAAAAAATGGCGATAAAATTTTAGACAAGGTAGAGTTAGTGGAAAAAATTAAAATGTTATTAGAAGACTGGGGGCTGCTACCTTATTTAAACATAGAGGAAAATAAAATATAGGAAGAAAACTAAAAAGGGAGATGATAGAAGTGCTTGAAACGAATTAACAAGGCAAAAATCAAAAAGACGGATCTGATGGGTTATCCAAAACTCCCAAATGATGTTAAAATAGTGCACTTTTTATCATAAGGGGAAGCGCTAAACCGGAGGTTATAAAGCCTGGGGGGGGGAATGTGGAAGGGATTCAGGCTTAATTCGGGGAAATGGAGCACAGATCCAATTTCCTAAATCAAGACCCTCACCAACATCAAGGGAAACCCTTCCCCTTTAGGGGAAAAAAAAGTGCACAGTACTATAAAAGAAACAAAAAGCAAAAAACAAAAAAAAGTTTCCATTCTCCGGTCACTAAACACTGTATGATAAACGTTATAAAAGCTACATGCATATCAAATGCCCAGAAAAAGCAGATACTATGTTAAAATAAGCGGTACATGTATGTAAAGTTTAGACAATGGTTATTGCATGTGTACTCGAGTGATCATTATGAAGGAAAGATTTTTAATATAATCAAGGGGGAACACTAAACCGTAGGATTATAAAGCACCTGTGGGGGGATATGGAAGGTATTCGGGTTTAATTCAGGGAATGGAGCACATACCAATTCCCTAGACAAGAGCCTTCCCCAGCGTCAAGGAACCTTCCTTGAGGAAGCAAGGACAGGTTACTGTTAAAAAGAAGTGATTGTGGTATAAAACCTTAAAAACGTCCCACTCTGTGCGCCTATTTTATTATTTAATTAATGTTATATAGCTTTTTTAAAAACAGTTACATTGATTTTAAAAGGGTTTTTATTGACAAATTTTTAATACATAAAAAATGTACCTTAAAAACAAAACCCCTGCAAATGACCCACAAAACTTGGTTATTCAGGACAAAAAAAATTTAAAAGTAATTATTAACTCCTTTAATTGAAATTTATCAGCTAAAAAATTTTCCCGGAGTCTGCACCCGAAGGTCAGGAGAAATGTCCTTTTATTAAGGTTTTTCAGAGGAAGAACTGACACGGTTCGAAGGTAACCTCCCAGAAAAAAAGTTGCAATTTTTTTGTTATTGCATCTATCTTGGCCTCAACACGAAGATAAACAAATCATTATAAACGTCTCTCCAAGAGGCGATCTCCTCCCCGCCCATTGTGGACGAGAATATCGGGGATCCAAAGTGTTAGCCATTTTAAAAAAAAAAAAAAAAAAAAATTCGAAGGTTTTTAAAAACTACACACTTTTGTGTCCCGCGGGTTTTTCCCTTATCCAAAACTGGCCCCGGGATTAACCAAACAGGTGAAAAGAAAAAAGTAGCTAGTGTAGCTGGGGGATCGGGGAAAGTGTCGGGAGTGAGGGAACACGTCCAGGTCACTCGCGAAGGTCGCCAGGCGCTGTGATGACACTACACTGAGGAACAACTTTTTTGGCCCGCCTGTATGAGAGAAGTTTGCTTCACTGCTTTGTAAGCTGATATTCAAAAAAACTAAAATGCTAAATAAAATGCATTTTCCCCTTAAAAAAATTTGTTGGTCATGGCCCCCGGATCTGGGTGTAGGGACTCGAAACTTTTTTAAAATTATATTAGATAAAAAAAGGTAACTAACATTTTTTCCCCGACAGATTTAACTGTTTTTTTTAAATAAAAATTTAAACAAAATTTTATTGCGAAAAATTTAACTAGTAGGAACTTTTTTTCTGTTTAAAAATTAAAAAAGAAAAAACGCTTTTTTTTTTTTAATAAAACTTGGATACCAAAGATAAATCTACATTTAAAAAATGTTAGTTTATAAAATTCACTAAGAAATTTTAAAAAAAAAATGTGAATATAAAATAGAGAAGTAACGAGATAAAGCAGTGTTAAAGGAACAAAAGCCTCTCTTAAGAAAAAGTGACAAGAAAACAGTCTGTGAACCTCAAGTATTTAAATCGTGTAAAAAAAAAAGGGGGGGGGGGGTGGTGTTAAGGATAAAAAATTTTTCAAGATTTTTACAATTTTAAAAATTTGTAACTAGGGAAAAAGGGATATGGAGAGTAAAAGATTTCGAAAGTAAATAAAAAAAAACTGGGGGAGTATTTATAAAAAAATTTTGCCAAAAACAAGAGGGGGTTCAGGGGACAAAGTTGAGAGCTGGGAAACTTAGGGCAGCCCAAAATGAAAGTGGCAGACGTTCAGTGGGAAAGTGGAGGTTAAAGGGAGACAAAACTTTTAGATATTTAAAAGTAATGGGGGGGATTTCCACACAGGTCAAGGAAAAATAGAATTTTGGAAGAAGAACCAGAGGGGGGGTGAAGTGATGCAATTGGGGGGAAGTTGAAATTAAGTTGTGAGGTATATATATAACATACAGATTCTGCAATTGGTAGGGAACATTTTAGATCAGCGCATTTTGCAACAACCATGAAAAAAAAGGGGAAAGGGGCCCAAGGTTGGTAGCATCATGCAAAATTCTTTTTATAGGGAAAGGAATATTTTTATAATATTCCAAACGAATGCAAACCAAACTAGGAAAGGGAGACATGATTCAAAGTAAAGCACCCCAATTTCTTGTATCAAAAACCCGTCATCGCATCAAGGCCCCCCTTGAAGGCGGGGAAAAAGAGTAAAAAAGGGGAAACAATTGTTTTTGAGTTACCTGGAAATTGTACGGGGAATTATCAAAAAAGAGAAAGAAAGTGGTTACGAAAAAAAAATTGGAAGGGTATGAATTTTGGGAAAAGTAGGATTTGAATATTTATGTTGGGGGCCAGAAGGAACCGTCACGCCATTCAAAGAAACCACAAATTTTTAAATTTCCTGAAGGTGGGAAGCCATGCTGGCATTCTGAAGGATGGGGGTTTTCGGGGTTTCAGTGAATTATTTGAAGTGTATGTTTCAACTTGTGTCTGTTTTCCTTATTTAGGTCACGCGCCTTGGGGGGAAAAAAGCCGTTTAAAAAAAAGAGAGAAAGTACTTAAAAATTTTTCCCGTAATGTAAAGAAAAATAAAATAAGATGCGCAGGTTTTGGGAAAAGTAATGGTTTAGTGACCCCAGAGTGGAAGCCAACACTGTGGCAGTAAAAGTGCCAACATGCCCCGCCCAGGGGCCCTCACGTACTCCCCTCATCGCGTGGTACCCCGCCAGTCACCATTTCCCCCATTATAGGGAAAAAAAAAAAAAAAATATTACAAAGAGCCACAGAAAAGTAGGTAAAAATTAGATGTAAATTTAAAATGTTTTTAAAAAAAAAATTTTAAGAAAAATTTACTCAGCTTTTCAATAAAAATTTTTCCGACCTTAGAGTATTAGTCGTAAAAAAGCCAAAAAAATGGTGGAAAGTTTTTAGGGAAAATTTTTCAAGTATACAAATAAATTACTTACACTACACCTCATAACTTTTAAAATGGGAAACCAGCATCCATAAGCCCCAGCTACTATTCACCCCTTTCACTCTTTTAAATTCTTAAAACTCAAAAGTAATTTTTTGAGGGTTCCCGGATTCAGTGCATTTTGTACCACTTGTGCAATACCAAGAAAGTGGTGCACCGTGCAGAGCAAATATTCAGGGATCCAGCATTAGTATTTAATTTTCCCCAAAATCCCTTTCCCGATAGGGGCTTCAGGCTCTGTGTACACGAGACTAAGCACCCCCTTTGTAAAAATTGCAGATTCTGTAAGAGCTACTCAGAGCTCCGCTAATGCTAAGTACTCAGACTAAAAATTTAAGCAGCCCCCAAGAATTTCAGAGGTTACATTCAAAATCTGGAAATTCTAGAAAGCTCAGTGCTCAAGACGAAATCCTATAATTCATTATCCAAATGCAAGGAATTTCATATGATCTAGAAAAGTCGTCGATTACAGCAACCAGATACCAAGAGTGCCAAAAGGCCGCAGTACCAAAATGCCAGTCTCTCTAAAGGCTCAGAACCCAAAGACCCCAGTATTTACAGCTAATTCATATACTGTATGTCGGTACCCTGAAACCATATTTAAAAATCCTAAACACCCTAAGGTTAATAGGTCCACGTGTTCCAGAAGCCAAAAGTACACAACGTAGAGGTTCAGGAATGTAGACGCCAGAGTTCAAGAGGTTCGACTTACCAGAGTCAAAGATTTTCAGAGATTCTGCCATGCAGATGTAATATACACAGACTTTGCAAGTCTTTGACAAGTGTGACCATGGTGTAATAGAGCACAAAATGCGTGATAAAGGAATAACAGGAAAAGTTGGTAGATGGATCTATAATTTCCTAACAAATCGAACAAAGAGCAGTAGTCAACAGTAAAGTCAGAGGAGGCTTCGGTGAAAAAGCTGTTCCACAAGGCACAGTACTCGTTCCCATCTTGTTCCTCATATCTGAGACAGGGATATAAGCCACAGTGCCGTGTCTTCCTTTGCAGATGACACCCGAATTTGTATGACAGTGTGCTCCATTGAAGACACTGCAAGACTCCAGGCGGACATCAACCAAATCTTCAATTATTCCGATATGGAAAACGTGAGGAAATTAAAACTATATAGGAGTATAAAACAAATTCCAACCACACAATAGAACGAAAAACTAATGTCAGACCTGGGAGTGATCATGTCAGAAGATCTTACCTTCAAAGACCATAACATTGTATCAATCGCATCTGCTAGAAAAATGACAGGATGGATAATGAGAACCTTCAAGACTAGGGATGCCAAGCCCACGATGACACTCTTCAGGTCGCTTGTTCTATCTAGGCTGGAATATTGCTGCACACTAACAGCACCTTTCAAGGCAGGTGAAATTGCTGACCTAGAAAATGTACAGAGAACCTTCACGGCGCGCATAACGAAGATAAAACACCTCAATTACTGGGAGCGCTTGAAGTTCCTCAACCTGTACTCCTTAGAACGTAGGCGGGAGAGAGATGATAACACACACATGGAAGATCCTAGAGGGATTAGTGCCAAACTTGCACACGAAAATCACTCCCTGTGAGAGCAAAAGACACTGCAGACGATGCAACATCTCCCCATTGAAAAGCAGGGATGTCACTAGTACGATAAGAGAACACAATAAGTGTCAGGGGCCCCAAGACTGTTCAACTGCCTCCCAGCATACGTAAGGGGGATTACCAATAACCCTGGCTGTCATCAAGCAGGCACTGGACAAGCACCTAAAGTCAGTACCTGACCAGCCGGGCTGTGGTTCGTACGTCGGGTTGCGTGCGGCCAACAGTAACAGCCTGGTTGATCAGGCCCTGATCCACCATGAGGCCTTGTCACAGCTCGGGCCGCGGGGGCGTTGACCCCCGAAACTCTCCAGGTACTAAGGTTCATCGGCAATACCACATCTCTGGTACTAAATACCAAGGCACCTGAAATCCCAGTCCAAAATGCCTAGGGTTATTCACAGCCTGGCATTAACAGTCCCACAGGCTAAATACTGTTTACAAAAAGTTCAAAATACTAATTTCTTTTTTTCAGAGATTCTTGGGGAATAAAAAGTAACCACAGGTTTTTGCACCAAGTGCTCTTGGAATCTAAAGTTCCAGGATCAAGGATGTAAACAAAGCAAAACCTGACATTAAACAAAGCCTGACATTAAACTTTTTGGAAATGCTGGTTCCATAGAGGCCTAGGGTTGTCGACACACCCAGAGACTGTTCCTCAGCATACAAGACAAGAGTTCGAGGTCGTAGCCTAACAAGCTCAGAGTTCCAAAGTTTCCATTGTACAAAAGCCGCAACACTTTACAACTAAGGATCTCTGTACCAAAAGGTTTATTATTCTAGACGAAATGCTGTAGTAATGTTATGGGTTTCATTTTTCTAAAGTTCCTGATACAAAGGACAAAATTCAGGAATCAACATACTGAACCCAATTTGAAAGACCTCAGTAGGGACTGCAAAATCACTAATCTTCCAGCACACACAGTCAGTAAACTAAGCTCCAGAAACCACTAATTTCAGAGATCCCTAATACCTCAAGTTGCTTTAGATACCTGAAGCCTAAAGTTCCAGAAGACACCGGCACACTGAATATGAAGATTCAGGAAGTTCTAGTACCCATAAATAAAAAGTTCTTGATATCTGAGGATCAATAAGTGTTTCAGTGTTCTATTACTCAGCATCCCTGCACCGTATTTATGACGACGCGCAGCACACTAATGTATTAACCTCTAAAAAGGCTTAAGAGATTCTCAATTCTTGGCGATCAGAATGCTAGAAAATGAAGAGATCGAGACCAGTATTGATCTCTTAAGATCTCTGGAGCTGCCTGGCTCTCCTCCCCGATCTACCTTACTTCATTAATGACTACTTTGACTACTTTCCAAACAAATTGACTTAAAACTTACGTGACAGACACGGCAGGAGTATCGAGCCCTGGGCGTCTCTTCTTCCAACTCCTGCAGCCTCGCCCTCAGGGCTTCCACAACAGCTGGGTTGTTTGCACTCTCGCCCTCCGCCCGCACTGTGTACAAATGTTAACTCCTTAATTTATGGCTCTACTCTAAATCCTATTGGGCGATATATTCACTGCATGAATTGATATTCATCATTTTATGTAGAGGGTGAAGGAAGAGGGGTCGAAGTAAAAGTGTAGTGGATGTGTGATTATCTATTTGTAGTTGCAGGAGAGAGAAGCTGTGCTCGGTGTCCATCTTCAGTGTTTAGTTTATCAAACAGTAAACATTAAGACTTCTCCCGCTCCAGCAATCCAACACTCTTAGTTAAGACATTTTCTACTCCTCTTATGTTACTGATTTTCTTTGTTAGTTTAAAATTGTGGCATCTTGTTCTCCGCTGACGGTGCTAAGAAGTCTCTTAATTTATCTTCTCATTACTTTTATAATAATACTTATCATTCGTCTTTCTCCGCACCATTGACGACTTCAGTATTTTCAATTCTTCATATAATGAGGGAAGTATTGAACCCGTAAGGACTGTAGAGTCTGGGAGGTAATCTGGTCTCATCCAAGGAGATAGTTCAAATTCCTTGGATCAAGAGCCCTTCGCTGACAAGACACCCCTTTGAAGGCTCTTCCTTTGTAAGTCGTCATTTTTCAGGGTTACTTGCTAGCATTTTTTCGGTACAACTCGCTGCTCTCTGGCGAACGTTTTACTTGAAACCATTTCTGGCAATAGTTTACCTCTTCTCGGCCTATTTCGGACAATTAATAACTAATTACAAAATACAGAGTTGGTTTTGCAGTTGAGACAGTATGTTGTGCAAATAGGAAAAAAAAAAGTAACCAAAAGGAAAGAACTCGCCTTAACCTGGCCTCTGCCATCGCTCTGGCGCGTCATTGTTTACATTCTGCCGGAGTGACGAGACTCACGCTAAGCTGTAACTGGCTCGAATATTTTGTGCAACCAAACGTATGGCACTAATTTTGCTCTCAAAATAACAATTTGCACAAAATATATACTTATTCCACGGTGCACATAGGTTATATGGCTTATACGTATTGTACAGTGTGCAGTAATACCAAAGTTCCGCCTAGTAGTAGTCGCTAAGCTTAACCCAGTTTCCCGGCGGCTTTTCAATACCTGCTGTTAACCATTTGTTTCAAATTTTTGTCTCCTCGATTTTGAAGTCCATTTTATTTAACTTTGTGTGTTGCAAAAATGCTTCAAAAGTGCTTATCTGTCTAGTGTAGTACAAGTAAAACGTTGGACATGTTTCCTACACCTGCTGCTACTGTTCACCTAGCAGTAAGTAGGTACCAGTATGGGTATCATATCCGGGGAAGGGGATACACAAGAGGGTGAGCTGGGCTTGGAAATGAGCTGAGGTAAGATAACAGCTCTGACCCTGTAAAACTAATGTGTAAAACTGAAGTTTAAACAAAATTAATTTCTCTGAATACTGCCTTTGATAAAATAAAATGGTAATTTAACCGACTTCTTTATGGTTGGTGAGGTGGAGGAAGTTGTAGTTGTGGAGGAGGAGGGGGAGTTGGAGGTTGTAGTGGTGGTGAGGGAAGGATGGAATTATGAGAGGTGGAATTAGCGACTGAGGAGAGGAGTGTTCTTGATATATTAAGACTTCCACATAATCAACATACAAACGTGTGGCTACTAACGAGAGTGAGCCGAGTTGACTGAGCAGCGACTGTTGCTGCTACTGCTGCCTGACGCCGGCTCCTCTGGGGCTAGGCTATTGCTGCTACTGCTGAAAAATGAAACCTTATCAATATCTTAGAATACTGGATCTTTTCCTAACAGCTGGGTTAAGCTCCAACTCTCTCTCCTCGTGACACCACTTAAAAAATATATTCTTACTCTCCCACCTTCCTAGCACATCCCCCCTCCCCCCCCCCAAGTTTTTTCGTTACATAAATCAATCCAATCAGTCAAGATCAAGATCCTCTGTTCTATAATGACTTCCTACTAAAGCATGCATCATACCATTCCTTTATCATACTGAATTCGAACTTTATCACAGAATAATTCTAAGGTATACCATGAATCGTATTATCAAAAACTGTGTTTAAGTGTCACAACTTCAATACTAGATTCTCTCAACTCTAGTTTCTCGTTGATGCATCAAAATTTTGTATCTCCCGTGAATTGATATTTATTAATAGATATTCGTATGAGTATAAATATTATATTTATATATATATAATATTATATTTATATATATATATATATATATAAATATTATTATTTAATATATATATATTAATATTATATTTATATATATATTATATTTATATATATATTATATATATATATATATATATTAAATATTATATTTAATATATATATATAAATATTATATTTTTATATATATTTATATATATATATATATATATATATATATAATATATATATATATATATATAATATATAATATATATAATATATATATATATATATTATATATATATTATTATATATATATATATATAAATATATATATTATTATATATATTATATATATATATATATAATATATATATATATATATATATATATATATATATATATATTTTATATATATATATATATATATATATATATATTATATATATATATATATATATATGTATCGACTGCACATGTGTCATTAAGGCTGCAACTTACCTGTACCCTAATATACAAAAATGAAGTAAAACTGTGTATATACACGGGTGTATATACCCTGTTTGCATTACGTATGTGCGTGCGACCCTATTATGACGTAGTGCCAACCTACCTTAACACTGCCAGTGGGGTGATGCGCCCAGCAAGACTACATTTACATTAAACATTTACCACATAGCTACAAATGTAAGAAGAGTATGTACTGTATGTACAGGTGACTTGTTGGCATGCATGTTGATTCACACATGTTGATAGTTCTGTGATAATTATGTCAACGGTTGATTTGTAAAGACAAATATTACACTGCACACTTAAGAGATGCAGAATCACTTTACCAAGGAGTGTTGCAACTCTGGAAGTGTGGAACACGTGTGACGAGCTGCAACTTAGTGATAAAACACATTATATCCATAAGGAAAGGCTAAACCTGCATGGGCTATAACCGCGGTAGGGGAATGAGAGGTAATCAACCTAAAGTTGGTGAGGGTAAGTAAGGTTCCCTGAATCAAGAGCCCTGTAACAGTATCTTGGCACCCCCCCCCTCTATCCTAGTCAGGAGAGATGCGATGCAATAATTCTGTTCTTCAGTCCAGCTAGTTAGTTCTCTCGCTCCATGTGTTTTCCTCCAGGCTTAAGCATCTTTTTTATTCAGAAAAGTAATTAAAACGAATTTCGAAGAAGTCAAACGCACTGAAAAAAAACGGCGCTAGAACACTGAAGTGTGGGCGAAAAATATTCACCTGGGGATGTGATCAGTAGGCGCTTGAGGTGTGTGCAAGGTGGTGGTGGTGTCGACTAAGTCACCTACGTCGACATCATGGTCAGTGTTGGTGTGAGCAAGGTGGTTGTGGGGCTGCAGGTCAGTGTCAGTGTACTGTGCTGGACCGTACACACTGAGCGAGTCATCCTCACATACTTCCACCACTTCGTCTTCACGACCTTGTACCACCCTCGTCCCCAGAGCTGTCATAAACACACTCGCACATTACAAATATAGCAATATCAATATTATTTTAGATTAGCAACTAGAATGTTAATGGTTAAAACTAGCAATAAACGAAAACTTGGTAGCAATTTTTTTTATAGCTGCCCAAAATAAAAGTAAATAAATATAGATCCCATTAATAAGATAAACAGAACGGCAGTAAACAGTTGCACACTACATGTATATATCCAGTGCAATATCTAAACTTCCAATATACATTCAGAAAGATCTATGTATACAAGTAAACTAAACATTAATATCAAGTATATTTTAACTTAAAATCCTTACTTTCACTTACCAATTACGACAGACGCACCTTGAAAAATTAATTATATTCATAGTACACTCAGCTAGTAAATTTACTTTCAACTGTTCTACACTTGAAATTCACAAATTATCTGCTTATACTGACGAACAATGAACCAATGTCATGACAGTGCAGTTAGAAGAAGCCTGAGTAGATCTATCACTCATTACAATATGATCGTAGGTAAGCATATTTACCGATCAACTTGCCATGTAAACAGACTGACCGGCGTTGTAGTAGCCAGGCTTAGGCTTGGTTATAAGTACTTCTGGCAGTCTGGCAGATACACACATGATCAAACTAGATACAAAGTGTGTGTGGTCAACATGAGAGTGGCTCTTGGACACTATGTACTTCACTGTTCACTTATTGAGGAATATAGACAGTACAATAACCTATGTGATATGTCAAGGTATCTCATTAATGAAAATAAGAAACCAGACATTAAGCAAACATCCTAAATTTTTTGCCAATAGAAAAGTCCTAGTTACTAGACAAATCCTAAGTTCCTAGGTATAAATACTAAGTTCCTAGGCACAAATACTAAGTTCCTAGGTAGGTATAAACCCTAGTTCTTAGGTCTATTGTGTATCCACATGCTCTTGCGTTACCCTCCACCGCATGGCTATAGGGGGTGCACAAAACAGCTACTTCGACAGCCGCCCCTGCAGCAGTGTACCCACGCCTGACCTCATCCGCTGTGCAACTGTCTACCTCAGATTGGCCAGCTATGTCCCGTTTCCCTCAGCAACTGTGATCTAGTGTAAGGCATGAGGAAAGGTACTCACCATGCAGCTGACCTTCCGCTCTCAGCATCTGTGTTGCTCTCACCCTCGTCTGACCACACCATTCGTACTCCTCATATTCTCCTTCAACATCCACCTCCGCTGCTTCTTCACACTCTCGCTCTGCCTGTCCAGAGTAACAACAGTGAGACAACCCAGAGTGACAGCGGCACTGCTCTCATACGAGAGAAACCTGTCAATCAGGTATCTCTTACGAGTGGACGCCATTCCACAAAATTTCCTTAAAACCTAACAACTATGACACCTAGGAAGAAAACCTACAGTAAACACTTGCCTTCTACAGGTGATATCTGAAATACACACACATATATATATATATATATATATATATATATATATATATATATCTTTCTTTCATTCAACACACCGGCCGTATCCCACCGAGGCGGGGTGGCCCAAAAGGAAAAACGAAAGTTCCTCCTTTTACATTTAGTAATATATACAGGAGAAGAGGTTACTAGCCCCTTGCTCCCGGCATTTTAGTTGCCTCTTACAACACGCATGGCTTACGGAGGAAGAATTCTGTTCCACTTCCCCATGGAGATAAGAGGAAATAAACAAGAATAAGAACTAGAAAGAAAATAGAAGAAAACCCAGAGGGGTGTGTATATATGTGCTTGTACATGTATGTGTAGTGTGACCTAAGTGTAAGTAGAAGTAGCAAGACGTACCTGAAATCTTGCATGTTCATGAGACAGAAAAAAGGACACCAGCAATCCTACCATCATGTAAAACAATTACAGGCTTTCGTTTTACACTCACTTGGCAGGACGGTAGTACCTCCCTGGGCGGTTGCTGTCTACCAACCTACTACCTATACCAACCTACTACCTATTATATATTTTATATATATATATATATATATATATATATATATTATATATATATATATATATATATATAATATATATATATATATGGGGAGGAGGAGTATGGAAGAAGTGAATGTTTTCAGATACTTGGGAGTTGACGTGTCGGCGGATGGATTTATGAAGGATGAGGTTAATCATAGAATTGATGAGGGAAAAAAGGTGAGTGGTGCGTTGAGGTATATGTGGAGTCAAAAAACGTTATCTATGGAGGCAAAGAAGGGAATGTATGAAAGTATAGTAGTACCAACACTCTTATATGGGTGTGAAGCTTGGGTGGTAAATGCAGCAGCGAGGAGACGGTTGGAGGCAGCGGAGATGTCCTGTTTAAGGGCAAAAGTGTGGTGTAAAAAATTATGCAGAAAATTCGGAGTGTGGAAATTAGGAGAAGGTGTGGAGTTAATAAAAGTATTAGTCAGAGGGCAGAAGAGGGGTTGTTGAGGTGGTTTGGTCATTTAGAGAGAATGGATCACAGTAGAATGACATGGAAAGCATATAAATCTATAGGGGAAGGAAGGCGGGGTAGGGGTCGTCCTCGAAAGGGTTGGAGAGAGGGGGTAAAGGAGGTTTTGTGGGTAAGGGGCTTGGACTTCCAGCAAGCGTGCGTGAGCGTGTTAGATAGGAGTGAATGGAGACGAATGGTACTTGGGACCTGACGATCTGTTGGAGTGTGAGCAGGGTAATATTTAGTGAAGGGATTCAGGGAAACCGGTTATTTTCATATAGTCGGACTTGAGTCCTGGAAATGGGAAGTACAATGCCTGCACTTTAAAGGAGGGGTTTGGGATATTGGCAGTTTGGAGGGATATGTTTGTTATCTTTATATGTTTAAGCTTCTAGACTGTTGTATTCTGAGCACCTCTGCAAAAACAGTGATAATGTGCGAGTGTGGTGAAAGTGTTGAATGATGATGAAAGTATTTTCTTTTTGGGGATTTTCTTTCCTTTTTGGGTCACCCTGCCTCGGTGGGAGACGGCCGACTTGTTGAAAAAAAAAAAAAAAAAAAAAAAAAAAAAAAAAAAAAAAAAAAAAAAAAAAAAAAATTATATATATAATATACGTGTGTGTGTGTGTGTGTGTGTGTGTGTGTGTGTGTGTTGTGTGTGTCGTGCCGAATAAGCAGAATTTGCGATCTTGGCTTAAATAGCAACGCTCATCTTGCCATATAGGACAAGTGAAAATTTGTGTATGCAATAATTTCGCCAAAATCATTCTGAACCTAACGAAAAAAATATAATTCACTGTGTTTGTTTAGTATTAAGTTATTGTAAACAAATCTAAAATATATTTAGTTGGGTTAGGCCAAAATAAATTATTCTTGTTATAATAAGGTTAGGTAAGTTTTCTAAGATTCTTTTGGAGCAAAATTATTTTTTTTTACATTAACAGTAATGAAAAAATATATCTTTAAACGTATAAGAGAAAATTTTAGAAAGGACTTAATTTTAAATGAGTTCTTGCTAATTGACCAGTTTTACATATTCGGCACGACATATATTATATTATATATATTTTATATATATATATATATATATATATATATATATATATATATATATAATATATATTTCTCCAGAGACTCGTCTGACATAAGTCAAACTTTCAAAACTGAAGGATGGGGTAAAGGTGTCCCATAACTGGGCAGAGCACTCATTTCACGCGCGCGCGCACGCACACGCGCACACACGCGCACACGCGCACACGCGCACACGCGCACACGCACACACGCACACGCGCGCGCACACACACGCACACACGCACACGCGCACACACGCGCACGCACACACGCGCACGCACACACGCGCACACACACGCACGCACACACACACGCACGCACGCACGCAGGTCCGTGGTTAGATCCCCGGTACGGGTGGAAACACTAGTACGTGTTTCCTTAAGACACCTGGTGTCCCTGTTCATGTAGCAGTAAAATAGGTACCTGGGTGTTAGTCGACTGGAGTAGGTCGCATCCTGGGGAGAAAACAGACTTAATTTGCCAGAAATGCTCTGCATAAGAATTTTCAATGTTAAGATGTCAGCTGTATACGTTGTACATGTGGAAATAATTATTACTATTATTATACATTGTATTAACATTTGTCTTAATGATATTCACGGATAGATTTTTAGTTTTAGATTTTTAAATCTCATAAGATGTCAAACATCCAAGAGGAGAGAGAAAAAGAATCACTACGACGAGAAGGTAATTGTCTGAGAGGTAAGCGGGTGATTACCCGATAGGTAATTATCTGACTATGAAGAGAACTTACCGCCCGGAGGCACTTGTCGATGTGCGTATTGATGTCTCCTGGTCCGTCAAGAGGAACGCGCAGGTCACACACGGGGCAGGTCATCCCTTCTTCCCCGTCCAGGTCAACCAGCGTCCGGGGTCGCTTCACTCTTACCCTCAACTGACGATTGTTTCTCACACGCTGGTACGT